ATTTCGTGACAATAAGACATTCTGTCTGGCTAACACGGGCAAAACACATCGATGTGATCTGGGTCTGCATTTTACTCTTTCGGCGTGGAATCCTGTCTCAATATTCAAGAAAACACTTAAATCAGTTTGTCGGACCCTGTCACATATGCACCATAGTCGTTAACAGCCATAATTACGCGGCAAATTCTCGGTAATTGAAGGGGAGAGTGGCGTGGAGACATTTTTCCGCGGGAACTGCCTGCTGTTCTGACACTGATGTGTTGAGTGCAGCAACTTTGCAAACACAGCCCATAAGGTCATAGGGATCCTAAATAATTTAGGATGCATTCGCGTTATCGAACGTATAACGCTATACGTATTAACGCTATACGGTCCTGTAAACGCTATAGGAGGCTTCCATTGATAACACAGGAGGCACTCTCGCAGCTGCAGCAGGTTCTAGAAGACGCGCCACGTGAATCTGGTGCATCTACGACCAATCCTCGACTGTACGCTCGGCATCCGGCCTGGCCAGGAGCGCACGGTCACGCGTCGCCAGTGTAGCCCGGTCAGTGTGGCCGAGTCAGTGTAGCCTGGTCAGTGTAGCCCGGTCAGTGTAGCCCGGTCAGTGTAGCCAAGTCAATGTAGCCCGGTCAGTGTAGCCTGGTCAGTGTAGTCTGGTCAGTGTAGCCTGGTCAGTGTAGCCCGGTCAGTGTAGCACGGTCAGTGTGGCCTGGTCAGTGCAGCCCGGTCAGTGTAGCCAGGTCAGTGTAGCCAAGTCAGTGTAGCCTGGTCAGTGTAGCCTGGTCAGTGTAGCCCGGTCAGTGTAGCCTGGTCAGTATAGCCCGGTCAGTGTAGCCCGGTGAGTGTAGCCCGGTCAGTATAGCCCGGTCAGTGTAGCCCGGTCAGTGTAGCCCGGTCATTGTAGCCCGGTCAGTGTAGCCCGGTCAGTGTAGCCTGGTCAGTGTAGCCCGGCCAGTGTAGCCCGGTCATGGTAGCCTGGTCAGTGTATCCCGGTCAGTGTAGCCCGGTCAGTGTAGCCCGGTCAGTGTAGCCCGGTCAGTGTAGCCCGGTCAGTGTAGCTAGGTCAGTGTAGCCCAGTCAGTGTAGCCCGAACATGGTAGCCTGGTCAGTGTATCCCGGTCAGTGTAGCCCGGTCAGTGTAGCCCGGTCAGTATAGCCCGGTCAGTGTAGCCCCATCAGTGTGGCCTGGTCAGTGTGGCTTGGTCAGTGTAGCCCGGTCAGTGAAGCCCGGTCAGTATAGCCCGGTCAGTGTAGCCCGGTCAGTGTAGCCAAGTCAGTGTAGCCCGGTCAGTGTAGCCCGGTCAGTGTGGCCCGGTCAGTGAAGCCCGGTCAGTTATAGCCCGGTCAGTGCAGCCCGGTCAGTGTAGCCTGGTCAGTGTAGCCCGGTCAGTGTAGCCTGGTCAGTGTAGCCCGGTCAGTGTAGCCCAGTCAGCGTAGCCCGGTCAGTGTAGCTCGGTCAGTATAGCCCGGTCAGAGTAGCCCGGTCAGTGTAGCCCGGTCAGTATAGCCCGGTCAGTGTAGCCCAGTCAGCGTAGCCCGGTCAGTATAGCCCGGTCAGTGTAGCCCAGTCAGCGTAGCCTGGTCAGTGTAGCCCGGTCAGTGTAGCCCGGTCAGCGTAGCCTGGTCAGTGCAGCCCGGTCCCGCTGGGCGGTGTCGGTTCGTAACCGGCCACCAGCCGCCGGAGACATGCTTAACGAGGTGTCTTCAAAGGTATTTAGTTAGCGCTAGTGAGTCCGAAATGAAATTTAACTCTAATTTACTTCGAATACACCATGGGTTGTCAAAATACCCTCGAGCCCGTCTCAAAATGCCCTTCGTTTGGGGTGAATTACTTTCATTTATCCATGGCGTCATGCCGTAATATGAACCACGTTTTTCGTCACCCCTTGCAACGGTGGCCGTCGTATTGATTTTAAGAAATGCTTACACAAACTACGATATTTGTTATGAGTGGCCTCTGGCCATACCCTTGACAATAAAGAAAAGCCACATTTAGATTTTCATCTAGATTTTAAGCTAATTGTGAAGCTATTTGCATTTCCAAGTGCTGCTTTAAAGAAGTTCACTACTTGTCTACCGTGCGGTTTCCCAAGCCAGCGTTTCACATGAATGTTTTCCACTCCATGCAACGCGCCTACAAATGTCAATTCAAGCAAAAACCGTAATATACCGTAAAGTCCTTCATTGTACGGGGGCGAAATGCCAAGCCTGGTCAATCTGCCAAGACTGAATACATCTGAAACGTCCTCTTTGTCATGACTAGGATCTCGGATCCATTACTGATGCCAGACATCACAAACACATCCATGCTTTAATCTCATCCCACCAGGTCACAGTAAGGAGTGTGACAAAGTTTGAAGAATTGTGTGGAAAATAGCAGAAGATCAGGTTTCGGTGAGAGGTCAATTTTTTCAGAGGCAAACGGTGAATACCGTACATTCTGCTCCACGAAACAATGATAACGTTTTAATTATGTATATACGGGGTACGGCGTGATCAACCAAACAAGGAAAACCACTGTCATACCGCTTTGCATTTGTGCATTCCCCATGCATGCACTTACTCTTGTTTCATCGTGCGTTCTTTTATCCTGAATATTAGCCCCAGTCCACCCATCTTACGGAGGCGTGCTGTGTAAGCCGGCCGTGAGTCGGCTCCACAGGCGCCCCGGCAAGAGGCCGCCATCTCACCGAGGCGTGCCGCGTACGTCAGCTGTGAGTGGAGCCATCACACAGGCGGCCCGTCTGGAAGCGGCATCAAGGTACAGACTGCAGTGTTGCTCCACCAATGGTCGCGCTCGTGAAGAGTTTAATCCCAAGTGGTTGAGATAGGCAAGAGAGCTCTAATATATCGCCCATCTCTACTCGCATCCCGCTAAAAATCGTGATGCATAAGCCCAGATCAACCAACGATCATAACAAACAATCCCTGATGGGTTTCTCCACAGAACTTCGCGCATTTCAGATCTCCCCTTCCCTCCCCCAGTACCATCTATGCGTCCTTTGTGACCTGCTAGACGGGTATGAGAGTGCTGGACCCCCCCCCCCCTCCCATCGAACTCCTGTGACAAGTCAGCCAGCCGAGGCACGTCTCTCAGCGCCCCATGGGACCCACCGCTGGACGTCAAAGCTCCGCCGTTTGGTCAATGACGTCACAGCAGCGTCAGGCATTACGTCAGAGCTTCAATTGGAATGAAGCCTTTGTGGGGTCAAAAGGTTGCCCTAGCCATTAGCAAGTTTGTGCGACACTTCGCGATATGCTCGTGGTGCATGCATCCGTGTTCGCGTGACTCTTGGACATTAGGACTGCACTATTTATTTCGTGAATGCCGAACCTGACTTGGTGGCACGTATAGCTTCTCTGGCAGGACAGATGCAAGTCTAAGTTCTGTACCAGGTGAGAAAAGGTTGGTATCTACACCACTGTCATTTATGTAATAACTGCTGGAGTACAACATATGTATGGCCCTTAATTTTAACCGCCACAGCTCAACTTCCTTGTTTGGGTAAGCCATAGTGATCCAATTCGGCCTTCCGCAATTAAAAATGGTACTCTTTTAGCAAAGATCTCCCAAGTCGTTCTACGAATCCGACTCAATGTTGTCTGGCGACACAGTACCAACATGAGATAAAAGAGCCACCATACGCAGTTCAGAGGAGTTGACTGAAGAACTCATCAAAGGTACAGGCATAGTATGGATGCGACATAGCAAAATAACAAGCGTGTATTTTAAGCGCCTCTTCATTCGTAAAATGCCATGAGACAGGACTACTTTACCCTTGACAAAGCCATAAATGCAAATGCTCTACTGCGCTGAGCCCAAAAAGGTTATTTTAAATAGCAGTCACAAGGGAAACCAGCAGGAATGGAGCCACAGTCCGCTGGCCCGGCTTTTCGTGGTGCTGGAGAAGTGTTCAGAACGGTGGGGGAGATGGATATGACACAACCTCAAACGAAAGCAGTGCAGAACCTTTTCTGGCTCTTGCCTCCGTACGAGAAAGACCGCGCTGCATGCTTTAGTTACATATCAGACGTTCACCAGCAGTGTTCGCTTTTGGTGCTCGCCGCCCATAAAAATAGCACTGGTGATGTCGGCCGCATGCTAACTGGCGCAAATGGCCAGGCTTGCGTCATCAGTTGCGTCACAAGTCCCTTATGTCCGACGACTGAATCCTACTGGTACGATAAGTCCGAAGATCGGAGCCCACCTGTACAGTCAGCCCGGCGACAAAGCCCTCCTGTACCGTCAATGGCGAGAACCCCCGTACCTTCAACGACGAGACCCTCCCGCGCCGTTAATGGTGAGACCTTCTCGCACCGTCAACGACGAGACCCTCCCGCACCGTTAATGGCGAGACCCTCCCGCACCGTTAATGACGAGACCCTCCCGCACCGTTAATGGCGAGACCCTCCCGCACCGTTAATGGCGAGACCCTTCTGCACCGTCAATGGCGAGACCCTCCCGTACCGTCAATGGCGAGACCCTCCCGTTACCGTCAATGACGAGACCCTCCCGCACCGTTAATGACGAGACCCTCCCGCACCGTTAATGGCGAGACCCTTCTGCACCGTCAATGGCGAGACCCTCCCGTACCGTCAATGACGAGACCCTCCCGCACCGTTAATGGCGAGACCCTTCCCCTACCGTCAAATGGCGAGACCCCCACCCGCACCGTCAATGGCGAGACCCTTCCCTACCGTCAATTACGAGATCCTCCCGTACCGTCAATGGCGAGACCCTCCCGCACCGTTGGAAACAAAACCAACTTGTACCACCAGTAACTAGGGCCGCACGCACCGGAAGTGACTGGTGCCGCACGCACCGTCAGTAACAATCTCCGAAAGCATCGACAGTATCAAAACCCGGAAAAAACGTCAGTAATAAGACCCACATGAGACGTCGGACGCCAGACATTAGTCGGAATCAAGATCCACATATATCGTTGGCAACGGGACGGGCATGTACCGTCAGTCCAGCGAAGAACACCCGCACGTACCGTCAGTCCGGCGAAGGACACCCGCACGTACGGGTTGACCAGGTCGCTGGTCTCGCCCGTGATGGCTCGCTTGACGTTGGCCATGAGCGAGGAGTTCATGCGCGGCAGGCCGTCGGCACTGTGGATGGTGACGGCGATCCGTGCCCGCTGCCGCTCGGCCGTCACCCCGTCCGGCAACAGCAGGTTCCTGCCACGGGCGCAAACAGAGTCGTGTGGGTAAGGAGGGGGGAGGGCACGGGGGTTGAAAAAGGGGCTCATGATGGTGCAAGCCCTCTTCCCCGCTTAAAGTTGTGATATATGATATATGATCCCAGATATTGCTTACCATTATTTTAGCGGGCCCGATTTTCTTCTCTGTTCTATTTTTATATTTGCCTTCTTATTGGAACAGAAGCCACAAGCCAACGGAAGACACCATTCTCTTTTATCTTAAGTCAATAAACTAAATGAAGCGTGCGTTGAATGATTAAATGGAGTGACAACACTTCCACCATTTGTTTTACAATGGTTTAAGTGGTCGCTTTCGTAAAACGATAGCAGCCGGAAGTTTTGCCGGCAATTTTTTGTGGGTTCCTAAAAGAGACATTGAGGGCCCATGAACGTAGATTGTTTATCGGAACGGGTGTCACGAATCCACACTACCATGAACAGCCCATGTTCAGCTGGGTATATTCAACCTACACTCAGAAATGATTAGTGAAAAATTAGTAACGTAGTTTTGGGCATACGCCTCCGCGAGCCATAGAAACCAAAACAGACGTCCTGCATTGTAGTCTGCATGGGCTGCGCAGGCGTCCACTCCGTGGCTAACACCTGGCGGCCAATAAGCGGGCGAAAAAGAATCACACATCTGAAAAAGAGCCTGCGAACGCTTAAAGACACCAAATCGCACGGTACTGTTCAGTACTGTGGCCGCCGACTGACACAGGGCACTTCCATTGTCTCATTGTGGAATTTCAAGAGTCTCATAAGTTGCCATATCTCCCTTCATTGTCAGAGGGCCCAGACCAACGCCAGAGGCCCTCTGGGATGCGGGGCACCGTCTCTGTCTCCGTTCAGCAAATGTTCTTTTGGCCGACTCGGGGCCCTTTGTCAACGCAGGACCCCCTGTTGGGCACTTTGGTCCCTGACCTAAGGAGCACTGTTGCCCACAGGTGCCCCTGTGGCCCACAGGGGCCCCTTATTATTCCAGGGGCCCCGACCAATCTAAATCACGGGCCCCGGCCTTGTCCCTGGTTGGGAAGTGAGCGCCTTGGGCTTAGACTGGCACAGAGCTGACTGGTCCGTGCTGGCGGTCTCTAGCCGAAACAGAGATTATCAGTGCTCCATGGCTCCCCAGTCACTACAAGAAGCCCTCTGACTGACATTCGAGGACCTGGCCCCACTGGCCGGGGTTCTTAATGTGCCCTAGAGCGAGCCCTTTGAGCCCCTTGGCCCTCCAATGGGCCATTGAAGAGAACATCTGGAAAATCTTTAAGTTGTGAAATAAGGGCCGAATAGGTGCCTGAAGGGCCTCCCTTCGGGCGCCCTGGAAATCTACCTCTGACTGACTTTGGACCCCTTGCCAGCACAGGACCCCTCTTAAGCACTGCGGGTCCCTGAACAATACGGCGGCCCCTCATTGGTTCAAGGTCCCCGATCAATGTAAATTGAGGGCTCGGCCTTGTTCCTGTTAAATTATGGGCCCTCAGGCCCAGACGAGGCCGACGTTACGAGGCCGACTACTTGGTGCTGGTGGAAACTGACAGACATAGAGACCCTTATCGACTTAGAGGCCTCCGACCGGCGCAGGGGGCGTTCCGACTGACATTCGAGGATCCGGCCCCGAGGACCGGGGCCTGTTAGTACGACCTCCGGCCAGCCCTTCCTTCCGTAGAACTGAGCCTTTTGTTGTGTGTCCCCAGGAGTCCTTTCGGCCAAGTCCCGTGGGGCGCTTTGGGGTCCTAAGGACCTACGGGGAAAGGGGTGTGCGCCCCCCCCCCCCCCCCCATTCCCTCCCCTGACTGCGACACTGGTTCGTGCCGCAGGTCAAGATCAGACGTGTCAGTCGTTAAACAAGACATGAGAGACTCGAATAGAATTGCTGGATTTTAAAGGTGATTGTGGACATGGATCAGCGTAGGAATAATATAGAACTGGAGATTGCCTGGGGTCCTGGTCTTTAACAAGTATATACGGATACGGATTTAAACTCGACCCATGGAGCAGGACCAGGAAAAGTTGATGACTCATCGGTGAAGCCAGAAAAATATGTATATTGTACGTTGATGAAGAAGTATATGAATTCCGATTGATTGCAATACAAGTGCATATCTGATTTCGAAACATCCTCCAGCCATGAACCATTCCTGTGACTTACTTAACACATCCCGTCTTGCGTACCTATAGAAGCATTCGCTACTCGTCTTACAGTTCGTGTCCCGCACACATAGCGGCTAACAGACCTCAAATGTCCCGTTCGTTTTAGGTGAACAAATTACCAAATTGCCTCGCAGTCATAATCATCATATCATTTACCGTCACTATGCCATTATCATTGATTATTATCAGCCATGCGCCGCTGCGCAGCATGAAACTGGTAATGCGTTCCACATTGACTTCATGATCACACACGCGCTGGAAACAGATTTTAGGCGCCCATGTCGCGATAATTACCCAAAACACAAAATGAGACGCTTATTCACTGAGGCAACAGGAGCTTTCATCTGACAGAGGCGTTATTACACCATGGTTTACTTGCCCCGCAAAGCATGTGATGTGAGTAGATTATTGGCCCTATACGACGAACGGTATATTTGCTGTCAGGAAGGTTGAGTGCAAGTGCAGCATGAGCGTTGTGTTCTGTATAGTGTTTACCACTGCTTTTAATACTGAGCGGCCTGCACCCGGCATTACGGTCAATGCGGTTTAAACATATCCTTGGTGCGCAGGTTCCGTAAGTGTCTGTAGATTACACCACCTGTAATTATGCACTGGACACCAGCGGCCTGCCGTACCACATGGAGCCACACGTTTGACGCAAGCTAGGGTAATAAATCGTGAGAACCGTAATCGCGTGTTTTAAACTGTCATAACAGCGGCAGAATGGGGTTCTGTACTTCTGCAAAGCGGGTCCCATTCAAGAACGATATGTGCGCAGGTCTCGGTGACGTATAGTCTAACATCACGCTTGGCCGCTCCGTTCTGTCCTTCGACGAAGAGAACTTAGGGAAAAATGCTAACAAATTAATTACGCATGGTCAGGCGAGATGTAATGACATGGGCCGTATTTAGCAACGGTGTTCAGGAGCAGAAGTGCAAGTTCAGCACAATGAACCGTAAAGGAAAGATCCAGGAAAACCATGCTGAATCTATTGGTGGCAGTTTTTGGCGAACAAGCAAAAATGGCGAGGCCGTGAATGACATTAAGCGAAGCAGACGCTACGGACGAACCGCACCTGAGCTGCCGGTGTGGTTGAGCAGCCCATACCAAAAATGTTGGGTAATAACATCTAGTAGAGCAGAACAGTACCAGCCCGTGTCAAACATCCATTCCGTCCTTGACACACCATATTTAGAGACTGTTAGGAAGCGAGCGATGCATGTGAGCCCAGTAAAACCTCGGCCGCCGACAAATCGCACCAAGTCAGCATGCCATTAGAGCCTAAACCTATTTCTCCTCTCTCGCACACGACACCTACGTCTCACATCCACCAGCCACACTCAGGCGCGCGCGCTATCTCTTCACGCGTCTCGCGACGTGCCTGGTGATTTGCACTCTATTAAGGCACGGCACTCATGCCTCATCTGCGGCACTCATGCCCTACGCATTCTACTCCCCCCCTCCCCCCCCCCACACCACGCTTGCACTACTCACGCCTCATCTGTGGTTATCATGCCCTAAACGCAGCACCCATACCTCGTGCGCGACACCCTTGCTCCGCGCGACACCCTTGCCCCGCGCGCGACATCCTTGCTTCGTGCCCGACACCCATGCCTCGCACGCGACACCCTTGCCTCGCGCGCAGCACTCATGCCTCGAGCACGGCCACTCACGCTTCACGCGCAGTACTCACGCCTCGATGTCGTCCTCGTCCTTGTCGGTTCTCGTGGGCGCCTTGACTGTGTCACCCTTGCCGATGACGCTGATGTCACACTTGACGTACCCCTTGGGGCCGCCGCAGGGGTCGTCCGGGTCGGTCAGCAGTGCCCACTTGTGGTAGAACTGGTGGTCTGGAGGCGGAGAGGCAGGGCTCAGGGGCAGTGATCGCGTGGTTGGTTTGCTCGAGTGCCGTTGGAACAGAACTCTTCGCAAACTCATCTTGTTGTGCAGGTGTTGAGCCCGATGCCCAGATGGTCCGAAACGTGGAATAGTTTTACACTAGCCCGTTTGCCGAGTGGGCCTGAGGGTTTAACTCTATTTTCATGCGGTGGATTTCACTGCATGACGGGAGACAGTTAAAGATGTTGAGACCCTGAAACCTAGAAATCTACGAGGCTGATTGTATTGTTCGGAGCTCAAAATTACCGCCGGAGCGTAAACTCTTTTGACACACATTGGTCTCGGAGATATCCGTGGCGCACTTATCAGCTGGTTAGTTAGTATTGGTTAGTTTACCAGTTAATATTAGTTAGTAGAGGTTTTAAGGGCGCGGCAACTACAATAGGTACCATTCATGCATGGCACACTAAGGAGAGCAAAAGAGGATAAAAACATGTCTTGTTTTTTCCAGAAATTTACCGGAGCTTGGTAAATTGCATTTAGTTTTGTTTAGAGCCTGTTGGTTGCGTGTTTAGTGCATGTAAAGGATACCTTGCATAAAAGAGTGAAATCCTGCAGACATATAAAGTATTTTACGATAAACATGATCCGTATCTAAATCAATGACGGCTCCAGTAATGTTAAAGGGCAGGTAAAGGAATGATTGGATGCCTCCAGCTACCTCCATTAGTAAGACTGCCTGCTTCCATAAGTCGAGTAACTTGGCTGATATGCACATCCATTTATGTAAACCCATTCCTTGATGTCTTTATTGCCCCGAGATCTGCGGCGGATCCATAAGCTCTCTGCAATTTATACGCATCACAAATCCGCTGAGCGCGATCAGCTTGGATACCACGGACCGGCCGGGCGCGGACGGAGGGTCGTGGACGCCAGGCCGGCCTCGGAACTGGCCGTCATTCGCGCCGATGTGCCTCCCAGCAAAAGTGCCTGAAGCTGCCTCTGCGTGGTGAAGCGAGCTCAAACCGAATTTTGACACACAATGGCCAATTTATTCAAGAAAAGTCGTCAGACTTTAAAACACCGGCTCTTGCAGCCACGCATCCCATCACATAACCAAGGGGGCCGGAATGAGAACGGCGCCAACGTGCAATGCAATGATATGATATGCCGTTTGGAACTATGTAGTTTGGGGACATTAAATTCATAGGTGTTGGGCAGGGGAGTGACTTGATATACTTTGCCCCCCCCCCCCCCCCCCCCCCCCCCCGCTCCCATATGCTAGCTTGAGCCCGCACTGCCCGTCTGAGCCCCACTGCATACAAGTACAAAGAGAATACTGGGCGAGAAAAATCTAGCAAATGCTGCAGAACTGCTGGAACATAAGGTACATGAGCACATCACTGCAAGTTTTACGTTCATTTTGTACCACATAGCATACTGGAGTTCCTGGATATTTGTAATGCTAGCTTCTCAGTACGCTAAGCCAGTCTGCAAATGTTGGCGGGCTTTTCAGGAGATCTTCACTGCTATCTGCCCGTCTGACTGGGTCGCAATTTCGCCACCTCACTTATTCGGCCTTCAGGTACTAATAGTACCAATCCCAATTACTTCAAAGGAAAGTAAAATGGAGATCGCTGACTCTTTCTCTTGTCTCGATCCTCCCCTTCTCCTCGATCTGATCCCTTACTCTCTCCCTCTCTCTCCCTCTCTCTCTCTCTCTCTCTCTCTCTCTCGTCGTCTCTCCTCTCTCTCCTATCTCTCTCTCTCCTATCTCTCTCTCTCTCTCTCTCTCCTCCTATCTCTCTCTCTCTCTATCTCTCTCTCTCTCTCTCTCTCTCTCTTCTCTCTCTCTCTCTCTCTCTCTCTCTCTCTCCCTCGATCGACGCCTCTCTCTTTCCCTATCTTCCATTCCCTTCTCTCTCACCCATCATCTCCTCGCTTGATTTCTGCGAGCGCTCCGCTAGTTCCATCTCAAAAAGTCAGCACAATGCATACCGCATAAATATTGCCCTTTAAATTCGAACTGGGTCAGATTAACTGCAAGGACTTAAGTGAACAAGGGACGGGTTTGTTCCTTTGCCTCCGTTGGGAGCTGTTCAACATGTTTCATCCTTGTCTGATAAGGCGCAATGTTCATGAGGAGCACTGACCATTGCTAAGCTTTTATCTCGGCTACGAGCAAAATTGGCAGCCTTCAAGCCGTGCAGGCGAGTAATGCTTTATACATGAATACATGTTTTCGAAGTTAGATACACAGAAAGTTATGTTACCTAGTCGTAACTGATGCAGCATTTTTAGTTTCGTCAAACGCTCGCTGCTTCCGGTGTTGTTTTTTTACCACGTTTTTACCATTTTAGTTTTACCACGGATAGTTAGGAGGATGGAAGTAGCTTTCAAATCGGTTTAACGCGTTTGGTGATGCCTTCACATATGGCAGCAATCCCCTGGTCGTGGCGTTACGGAGCACGTTGCTTGATCCCCCCCCTACAGGCAACGTTTGGCATAACGTTTCGAAATGGCAACATTTTTTATCGTTCTGGACATGTTGAGACTGAAAACCACTTGACACGCCAAAGGAAAATTTGAAAAATTGAACACGCATCAGATGTGGTGAAATAAGCTTACTTTTACTATTGGCATACTTTTACTTAGAAAGAATGTTCAAGACAACAAAAATTTACCTGTTTCACTAAACTATTCTCCTCAATACGTCGTTGTCTTTGATTGTGTCACGGGGACGTTTCTACGACAGCACTCACTTGCAGTTTCTCCGATCTCCCCGAGATGTGGCCCGCGGCGGGTACTGGCTGTGTGCGGAACGTAAGTACCCGTTAACTGTTCGTGCCTTGGTCCTTTCTCATGGTGTTCTTGCATATCATCGTAAGTTTAAACAACTGACTTGTATTCAGAGCTCAGTCATAGCGCTGTCCCTAAGTTGTACGATTACAGGTCTTGTAGCAGCTGGAAGAATGTACATCTTGTATGGTGTAGCACTGAATGTCACTTCGTGTCAGAAACTTGCAAACCCTGTGCAACATTGGATGAGGACCAATTGGCGACCATTGTATCTGGACATTCGTGCCTCACAACGCCAGCTATCAGTCATTCGATAATTATATTTTCTTGGCCTTCGCGTTATGGCCAGTGGAATAGTAGGATTTGAATGATGTTAATGTGGAACGCCTGGGCAACCAAGGCGTACTTTGCACCGAAATAGTCTGCACATCTTTGAGGGCGTTTAGGTCAGAAATAGAAGGTCTAGCTCTTTAGGACAGGGCTGTGAAACTGCGCGAAATGAGCACCAAGACGGTCATTTTAGTACTAAAAGCCCATACAAATATGGAACACCTCCCTTTAAGAAACTCCACTCGTGATGGAACAACTGCATTAAAAGCCCCATACAAATATGGAACACTCCCTTTAAGAAAATCTGTCTCATGATGGGACAACTGCATTCCGGAAATTCCGCTTTCTTTGGTTATGACAAATACCTTCCATGCATCTCAGGCATAAGAACTAAGCAAGAAGCTGAGCCAATCAATTTTGTTATCCTTCTCACCCAATTGCAGCCTGTTCGGCGTAGATGTTCACACCAAGGCGCGCTGCCTAACCATGAGTCGAACAGACGTCGGCAGATCGAGCCGGACTGTAAGACGGGCATCAACGGCTAGTTGGAGGGCCTAAATGCACTGTGATGTAGTGCGTTTCTAGTTAACGTTGTACCTAGCCACGCCCTCGCGGCCGACCGCCGGAGGCGGGGGTTGACCGGCCGCCGCGGTCAGAGGTCACCGGGAGGTCAGTCTTCTGATACCAGTGAGGGTACGCGCATATCACGCGGGTGAAGCAAGTGGGGCGTGCCAAGAAGAGTTGAAAGACTTTTTGCGACGGACGGATGTCTTTCGGCTGGCAGGGGGAGGGGGGCAGAAAAAGCGGTGGGGAAGACGCTTTTTGGACTCGGCTCGCGGATGGCGGTGATAAAAGTGCTGTTCGAAGAGGCCACAAGGGATGTTCGAAGCCTGACGTCGGCGCTGCGTCGAGAACTCGGTCCATCGAGGAGCTGGTACCAGCACCGGTGCAGCCACAGCCGCAAGCAGCCCTCCGAGACAAACGGCATGTTTTTGCCGTTTCATTCCCCTTGTTTCATGGTGAGTTCGACTGAGCGCCACCCAGCGACACGTTCCGTGCCGCGTCGCCGCCGCGTGGAATCGGCTGCCCGCGGCGGCCATCCGCGCCCCCTCGCGCCAGGCATTCTTGACTGTTTTAAATCGCTGTCTCATCGACTGAAACTGTGTGTCTATGCGTATAGGTGTACCTCTGTACTGGTTGTGTTTCCTCTTTTTTGTACGACACCAGCAGGCGCAGAACAACCACCACGTGAGTGCGCCTTAATCGAAATAACTTGCTGTAACTGTGCGCTTCGTAGCTCGGAGCCTGGCATGGCTGCACGAGCCGCCGCGCTCTGGAGAGTCGAGAGTCGATTCTTGGGCGGATTTCGTCCGATGTTGTGGCACAGTTACGTCTGTTGCAACCCAGCACTGGATCCCTGCACTGACCTTGATGAGATGTCGGTATGTGCAAAACAAAGTAAGGGGCTGTCCATCGTTCGCCGGCCTAAGTCAGTTCAGTTGGGGAGGGGTCTGCTGTAAAGAAGGGAGCAGTTGATCATTTCCGTAACGAGGTAGCCGAGCTCTCCCGTGCCGTGTTCCGTGTTCCGTGTTCCGTGTTCCGCGCTCGAGGTCCACGCGGCCGCCGGCCGGCCTGCCGGTCGTCTGGCGCTGTCGCCGGGGGCGGTATGACGTCATTCGCAGCCAGGCGGGTCAATTAGAGGTCGGCTCAGGGGGACGGGAAATGGCACGTGACCCGGCCAGGGTGAGCTGGCCGGCGGCGCACAGGCGGCGGCGCACAGGAACGCGCCTAGGGGGAGGGCAGCGGTGCAGCAGGGCCGGGCTAGCCGGAGCTCGGGTCGGGCTGGGCCGGTTTCCGGGACAGACGAATGTGAATGAATGCG